GAAGAGGAAGAATTTTAAAAAACGCGGAAAGAGGAGTCGCGGAAACAGAACTAATTCGTTATTTTAAGATTAAAATAAAAAGAAGCAATCTATTTAAATTAATCAAACAGCTAGTAGAAAAAAATATAAAAAAATCAAGTTCATTCTACTTAGGGAAAAGTTAAGGAAAATAGGTAGGTTGTGTCCTGACATGTGCTTGACTAAGCTTGTGCTTCACGCTTCTTTTGAATTCAGTTGAATTAAATTACGAATTTTAATATACTATTTAAATTAGATAAATTTGCCATGAAAATGTTGCCCATGAAGCGCTACTATCCAAATTTATGGTGGTGTTCTTACATCTCGCAGAAAGTGCATTGTGCATTTAAATTTGCATATGGGAAAATAAAATCCGCAGACACGATCACACCTCGAAAACTGATGGACGAAAAATGGAAGGAATGTAGAAGCAGTATTTAATATCCGCACACCCAGTTAAGCACTGTCACTGTGCGTAATACGATCTTTAAACTTACCTGCACACATAGTCGATTTTCAGAGAACTGGCTTTCGGCAGAGCATAAGGGTCTTTACTTATCTGTCAGATGCAACCAGTGAGTTACTGAATATGAAAGTGAGGTGTTTAAAAATAATAATCACATTTGGAATAACTTTAATCTTTATTTTTCCTTCTTGAATTTATTGCTATCAAATCATCTGTTTTAAATTTATGCTGTTTTACATTTTTTAACATAATCAATACATTAAAATACAGAGTGTCCCGGACCCATTTTGATGTTTAATAACTCATAAAATAATGAAGATATAAACAAACTTATGGGCATTACTGATGGAATACTTATATATATTTTCCTTTTCAGGTTTGAATATCTTTACTTTTGTAAATATCGTCTGCGCGTGTGGTTAATTTCAGATAATTTCATTTTCCAGTCTAAATATCTGTACTTTTCTAAATATCGTCTGCATAATCTGGAAGCGCATAATGTTCTCCGACGAAGCATCATTTCATCTTTCTGGCATTTTTAACCGCCATAATGTTCGCATATGGGGATCTGAAAACCCCCATGAATACCGTGAGGCACAAATAGATTCCTCAAAGGTTAATGTGTGGTGTGAACTAATGCACGACCGAGTCATTGGGCCTTTCTTTTTCACAGAAAAGATGGTCTCATCAGTCGTATACTTAGACATGTTGGAAAACTTCTTATTTCCACAACTAGAAAAAGCTCAGCCACATGTCTTTTGAACAAGATGGCGCACCACCTCATTGGGGTACCATCGTTCGAGTTCTTGAAAGACCATTTACAGAAAATGGATTGGCGAGATGTCCAATTCCTTGGCCCCCAGACACCTGATATAACGCCCTGGACGTTTTCCTTGGGATTGTAAAGAACAACGTTACAGGAGGAGAGTGTCGAACATTGATGACCTAAAAAGCCAGAATTACAACCGCAATAGCCTCTGTGGATGCCGACATGCTTGCCAGTACCTGGCCGTGAAATTGAATATCGATATTCTCCGTGCGACGAAGGGGGCACACGTGGAAGTTCATTGACAAGGGTCAAGAAACTTTTTGAGTCTATCTAACCATTTATGTTATTAATTTTAATCTATCTTTATTATTTTGTGAGTTATTCAACATCAAAATGGGTCCGGGACTTTATAAACACCCTGCGTTTTGGAAGATTTATTCACTTCAACTTCTTTCACAAACACTTCTTTGGGGTGTTAGATTATAAGCTAATTTATAACTGAAAATATTTCTTTCTTTTCATGCATTCTTTGCACAAATAAAGACAATTCACGATGCCGGAACGAACAGGGCACAGTATTTTGTCCTATCGAAACAATGGACCTACTTACATCGAAAGGATTGTTCCATTTTAAGAAATAATGTTTTGCCCTGTTTTGTCACTAATTACAAGGAGTAATTATAATTTATTAAATACGATGCAACTACAGGAATACAATTGGCATTTTTTAACACTTCGTTTATGTATACATTGCGTGTTATTTAATTCAAAATTACTTATTGCCTCATGGACTACATTTATGTATCCTCTGGCACGAGCAATGAACTTGAGGTCGAAGCATTACCTTTGTCATGGGATCTTACCTTGCAATTCAAGTTTTATGGTACTTAAAACATGATTCAACATACGTTTTTTTAATTTGTTTTTAATTTTATTTATTTTCTGCGTCATTTCCAATGGCTTCTCCACTGCAGCAGTAAAGCTTCTTAGTATTTTTACAAAGCGGAATCTTCCTGATTTTTCCTAAATCTTCTCATGTCCTTTGTATCACCTTTCACAATCCCCTTGTATTTTTGCTTCAATATTAACGGGGTTTCCTCTGTCACAGCAGCATTTGGCTCATGGCGATATTTCAGAAACTGATTTGGCCGACAAATCATGTTCTTTGCCAAAAGCCGCTATAATACCATGCATAAGTCTGTAATTTTTAAAGTTTCTTATTAGCTCCTGTACAATCGCATTTCTCTGTTCAGACCTTAAACTGCGTTATTCCCGCTAGCTTTTCATAAAAAAGAATGAAAGTCAATTGGCTTATAGCATAAAGACTTTATTTTATAAAAGGTATAATTCTAATTATAAAAGGTATTTTATAAAAGGTAAAACAATGTTATAAACCGGATAACCATTTGAATAGGAAGGAAGTAATTATTATGTTACGGATAACTAACATAGTAACAAACAGAGCTAACTGCTGAACTGAGTTCAGGATAAATACTTTACCTCATACTTTTTACTACCTTTCTCATAAACAAAAGTTGAATCGTAAAGTTATGTGTATGAGTTACGATTAATTTCCTAAATTGTGTGAGAAAGTGAAAGTTTATTTGTATATGTAGCATGTTAATAGAATAATCTGTCTTTTTAGAAATATATACATAATACTGACAAACACTAACCAAAACTAAAGTATAAATACAAGTAACATGGGATATTATAAATCTATGCTTAAGATATCCGACTATTTCTGACACCCAAATTTTGGAAAAATAGTGAAAACTAATCTATTTTTAGTGTTATTTAGTAGTTTTATTATAAGTAGTTTTACTACTACTTAAAATAATAGAAACAGGTGATAAACATACTATCAACTTTTTTTTTTAATGTAAGAAAAAATGTAAGAAAGCTTTGGTCTTGTCTTACATTTTGGGTTAAATGTGTGTTAAATTTCGGGAATACTAGACATGCTTCCGCAAAATTATTTATCAATATTTTACATTTATATTTGCCACTTATATTTATTAAGCTATAAGGAATGAATTGGACTAAAATCTAACTGATAAAGTAAAATGTCTATGAAATATAATTGTTTCAATACATGCACTAGCTATTTTTTTGCAAACTTTCTCTCTTTTTAATTACAAAAAGTTTTAGTTATGTACATAGGCCTAAACCTTTAGTCCATTTAATTCACAATATTTCATACAATATTTGTAGAAAGTTTCATAAAATTGTAATAGTAATATTTTAAACTTTTTTGTAACAGGAAAGATGAAACAAATCAAGTTTTTCCAAAAATAGGCTTGATCTAATGCAAACACAAATAAAGGAAAAGAAAATGTTATCAAGTATGAAAATGGAACTGAAAACTCTAATCTTGCTCCCGAGCATTTAATAACAGATAGAGAGGTTCGAACTCATCATTTGAACATCATCAAAAGTATTAAAATGAAAAATTATCATTTTAAAGTTATTAGAAAATCTGTAAACCTTTAGACATTAACTTTCGGGTTTTCAAACAGAAACATCCGGTTTACGGCGTAGAACAAGAACAGCCATAATACTGCCTGCTCCTAATGACAGAAGAGACAAAATAAAAGTAGTGTTGGGAAGTTTAATGTATGAGCTTTAAAATAAAATAATAAAACTTTTTTTGAAAAATTTCATCAAAATTGACGTAGATAGAGTTTTGTCAAAATTGACGTAGTAGGATAACTTAAAAAATGATATAAAATCTGCATAAAGTCTATGATGCAAGAGATATTTTATATTAGTGTTTTGAAGTTGATAATTTCAAATATATCACCGGATTGGTGTGAAAAACAACGAGCGATTCTCATTAATTTAGATAGAAGTAAAATGAACTCTTTAGAAATTAAATGATAACGGAAGGTAAAAAAGTTAGTTGCTACATTTTTAGTAGAAAATTTCAATACGTCGATTTTTTAAGTTTTTTAATAGTTAAATTTTGTTAATAGTGAAAATTGATAGTTAGGGACAATTTAATGAGAGCAGATAAGCTAAAATCTGATTAGAGAACTTGAAGATTGGTCTACTCAATTTAGGCAAAGCGCAATAAAATCTTATCTGTTTATCCTACATTTTAACCTAGTTTTATCCTACATTTTAACACAGCATACGAGGAGATAGAATCAAGAGGCTCGTATTATTTCCCCCCCCTGCCATTAGAAATCTTTAGATAATATTTGGACTGACAAATTTTTAAGTGCTGTTTTTCTGCCAAGACGTAGTAGTCATAACTATCTCGAAGATGTCCACCATACTATGCAAAACTAAAGTTGATTAAAACTTGAAATTTGTAAATCAGGAATTAGGAAAATATTTTATTTGAAGTTTGGAAATTAAAATGTTATCCTACTGATAACACAATGAAGTTTATTTAGTAATACTAAATACATGTTAATTTTATTTAAAATTTATAGCTGATAATCATTTAAGCGTTGCTGTCACATCGCGATATAATTTTCATATCTTATTCGCTGTGATAGAAGAAGCAGAATTTCATACATTTATTTGAAAGAAAATATTAAATACCGTTTACGTCACCAGTCAATATTTCAATTCCACTTTTTTAGATTAATTGCCAAGATTTATATAATTTGTAAGATTCTGAGGATATGATTGAGTGCTTCTCAGAGAGTGGGTTGTAGTCACGTGACAATAGTGGGCGACCAATAAGATTCGAGAAATCAGCCTCGTATAAAAGTGTGAGAACTCAGTTGATTGGATCACGCGGAGACTGAGCAGTGCCGAGAAATATCGAAAACTCCTCATTCGTGAAAGGCTGGCTTTTAGAACAAGCGAAGTAAAAAATATTTCTTTCCAAATTCCGTTTCCCAGAACAACAGTTTGTTCAGCGGTAAGTTCTGTTTCGATTAATTGTAACGCTGTTATACTTTCTGCAATTTTAGTTAATGGTACAGGTTTTAAATTACTTTCGGAATGTATTTAATCAGACGCCTTTTAATCATAAGCTGCGTTTTTCGTAGTTGAATTAAAAGAAATGAAATTTTGATCTCGGAGAGAAAATTAAAATTATTAGAAGTAAACACATGCAATATATTTTTAAATAAGCATTTTAGATATTAAACGATGTATGCAAGAAATATTGCACCATTCGAAAGGAAATTTTTATAGGAGAAAGTAAATTACATATCATTGGTCTTCGTCTTAAAATTAAAGATACCCTTAGTAATTATCTAGAAGAAAACCGTAAAAGAATACATGGAAAACTTTGTAGAAATTTGTCCGTCTGTTGCGGTACATACATTTCTTAAAAGTATTGTGTTTTAAAACCTGTACCACCTAAGAAATGTTAGATGTTTTCAACCTTAATCTTTGAGGGTAAGTTCAACCCCATTTTTTAAAGATTGATTTAAAATTTTTTTTAACATTTTATTGAACGAAATACCTGAGAAAAGGAATTACAAATAAGTTTCCAAAAGCTGCCATAAGAAAGAAGTATTTTACTCATTTGAATGCCAAAATGCTCCTGGTACTTAATACATTCCCTTAATTGTTTTGGACATATTTCAAGTTGCACGTATATATACGTTATTACAGACATCACAAGAATATTCTAGGCCGTATATATACGGCCTTGCGGTCAGAGGAGTTTTAATGGAGAAAAGAGAGGTAGGGGAGCAAGTAGCAGCGATTAAACAAGTGTCATTGCTTTAACATTTTTTAATATTAACTTCTTAAATAATCAAATGTTTTGTCCTTTTCGAAAGGATAAAAGAATAAATAACATTTTTTAATATTAACTTCTTAAATTAACATTAACATAACATTTAATTAAAGTAACATTAACATAACATTTAATTAAATTAACATTAACATAACATTAAATTAACATAACATTATTAACTAATTAACATTTTTTAATATTAACTTCTTAAATAATCAAATGTTTTGTCCTTTTCGAAAGGATAAAAGAATAAATATAATTGTCTATCAATAAAATTATTCGTAATTCCAATCCGTACGTCTTCCCCGTCCGAAATAATGTGAGGCTGATTTAATAAGCCGGCAACCAAATTAGTCACTTAGTAACTCAAGTGACAAATTAACTTTGGGGCTGAATTTTAATATTACTATATAAAAGTAGCCTATTTGTACCTTCCTTTCTGCATTCAAGTTAATTTTGCCAAAAGTGTAAGGATTTGGTTCAATCAAATGAACTACAGTTAAAAACTTTCACAGTTGACAACAATGAATTTCAATAGTTATTTTGGTGTAAATTTAGCACTTTTTGTGTTCTAGTATTATATAGAATGAGTACTAGTCAGAATAGTATAAAGCAGTATATTACGACGCATAGATAGACACAAATCTTACTATCGTATGATGAAAAAGATTGATTAAAGTAATATTAATTTTAATTCGTTTTATTTTATACTGTGTAAAACTTAACATGTAATTTATGTGCACAATAAATGAAATATGAAGATAACTCATATAAATGTGCGTCATGTTATTTGAATTATATCAGCATGATTTCCGACTACTGTTCTGCAGTTTTAAATCGCTTATATTAATTAATCTAAAAAGACACATAGCATTATATTTCTTTCTCGTCTTATTCTTTAAGAAGCAGCTTCAACGTTCAAGGCTCACCAGCGGCCAAGCAAATTAGTCTCTGAACACTGGAAGTTCCGACTTGGGTTCAATTCCAGGCGAATGGACTGCCTGCATTCACGTTTTCGTGGTTTTCCCCCATGTGTAACGTGTATACGAGCCAGTTTCTCTTAGAAAGTCCTTCACGAAGGCATCCTTCCCCTTAGGCAGATAGCTCTAGTTACCAAACTAAACCGCCATTCAATAAATTTGGGGCACATTTATTTATTTCGATTAATGAAAATAGTTTTACTTCACATTTTTTAATTAAAACATAACATGTTTCTCATATTTAATGTTTTAGAGTTGATCGTATTGTCTTCTCATTCGTATATAGTTTGTTGTGCTCTGCTATGCATCTGGATAATTATCCTGTGTAATAGTATTTACATGATCAGTTCATGCATCCACGCAAATATTGGGCGCGTTAGATTTATAGGACCTAAAGTTCTTTCGTGCGGATGTTGATTTGGACGCAGAAGTAGGGACGATAAAAAGATACTTTTTAGAAGCATTTTGAATGAGCCCGTAATAAAATTCTCAAATAATGTGTTACGTTTAAATTTCAGTTTTATTGGAACAAAGAGCAATAAATTAATTTCGTATGCCATTTTTTAAAACAAGGGTGGATTTAATATAAAATGCAAACTTAATGCAAATTTTGCTCCAGTTGCCATATTTCATATTAATGAAAACTGAATCGTATTTACATTGATTACAGTGCAATTATTCCTAAATTATATATTTTGTAGAGAAAGAAGAAATAATAAAAAAGGGAAAACATTTATAAATTATTTTTGATTGAAGATATAATTGCAATACAGCAATATGTCTAAAAGACGACTACCCACAGTTCCACATGATTTTGGAATTTTATGAAAATGATCGTTTTACAGAAAATAAGTGTCGCTGACGGCTTATAAGTTGTATATTAAGTTTTCCTTATACAATACATATATTCATTAATATCATAAAAATAAAATCATGAAATAATTAGGTCAGTTAAATAAAAACTAATACAGCAATAAAACAAAATCTTATAGAAATTTTATTATGCGTAATAATATTTTAAAATGCTGCAGTTAAATTCTTTAAAAATAAAAAACAGATCTTACGTGTAACATTATAAATTTTGTTAATAATTTCAAAACTCCTATTTTATTAATAATCGTCCAACGATTGCATATTTAATCATTGAAGTATGCTTCTATATCAATGAAATCTGTCAGTCGCTTTTGAAACAGATCGTCAGTAAATTTTTTCAGTGATTTTTAATCGTGCTTAAATTTACCCATTAAATTTGTTGTTTTTAGTCCAAAGGGGTTTTGTTCCTAGGACTGATTTTTTTTTTTTTTTTTTTTTTTTCGATTTTGCGTCGAATCACTATAAACGGCATATTACTTTTCAGATTGTTGCCACCAAATGTTAGAGTCCTCCATTATAATGGAGAATAATGTATCTGTTTTTTGCATTTGATGAAACATAGTATCTAGAGCCATCCAATTTTGAATGACATTATCCTACTACGAATATGCATTGGAACCCAAATTGAAATTTGGAATTTTGATAATATTTTGACTTTGAATATTTTAACGAATTTTGATCAAAAAATTTAAAAAAGCGAGCAATGGCAACACTCTACCGGGGGAAAAGAAACCTTTTTATCTCCAGCGGCGCGGAACTGTGTATCGAGAATTCTAAAGATACGCTCATTTTAAAATTATTTTGCGACATTACTGTTGAACTGAATTTTCCGGTTTAAGTGCAAAGAACATGATATTTAATAAATAAAAGTAATACACAAGACGTTAAAAAAACGCCGCTATGACGCTATAACGACGTAATTTAAAATCTGAAATCTTTCATATTTTCTTATTTTATTTATATATTATAATCAAAGAATATTTAGTGTGTGTGATTATGGCAAAGCCTCGAGGGCTATCTGCCTAAGGGAAGGGATGCCTTCTTGGAGGACTCTCTAAGGGAAACTGGCTCGTATACACGTTACACATGGGGAAAACCACGAAAACGCCCATGCAGCCATGCCCGTTCGCGGGATTCGAACCTCGGACCGAACTACCAGTGTTCAGCGACTTTACCGCTCGGACGCTGGCTGGGCCCCAAAGAACATTTAAACTTCTTAATATGAAAATTTGCCAAGAAATTTATAATAAAACTATGCTACGAAGCACTCTTATTTCTAGTGTTAAAGTAAATGCACAGCTAAAATAGCGACGCAGAAATGCCTCTCCTTGGTTCTACGTGTAAACTGATTTATTACATGTTATTTGCTGGGTAAATGCAAAGATGAAAAAAAAATTCACGAAACTATCTCTCTATTTTATTTGAAACGTTATTTCGATCTTCGTATCACGTGTCGCAAATAAGATAAGCCGAAAGCTATGCATGCCGCCAGCAATATGCTGATGGTTGCATAAAGAACTTCATATTTATTTTAAAAAATACGACATATATATATTGCATCGATAAAATTCATTTAATATTTTATTCAAAGATATTTAGGAGAAGAAAAATACCATCATTTTTAAAGTGAGTATTTTATCCACTCCTTCTAGTTTGATAGCTTGAGATTTTAAAAAGTATATACAGGGTGTTCGTCTGAAATGTTTGTTATTTCTCACCTTTTCTCTCTTTCTTTCCCTCTCTCCTTTCCCCAAAAAGTATTAGTCCAATCGGGATATTAGTCACGCAACGGCATTTTGCGTTGAATCGCTATAGACTGCGTATCACTTTCCAAATTGCAGCCACCAAATATAATCTTCTTGTATCATATTTAAAGAAATTAAGTGATATGGAATCTGCATGAATGCATGAAAATTTCTCGCACTGTGAAAAATAAAATTTTGATGGGCACCTGGAAACCCGATTTGGATTTTTTTATTATCTATTTCATATTTTGTAAAACTTTTAAGAATTTTGACTAGATTCCAAATTCGGAAATTACAATGATATGCTGCTTTTAAATATTTTATGGTTTTCCTGTTAAATTGAATTTTATGTAAGCTCCAAGACTGTAATAGTTAATAAATAAAGTACCCACACAAAACGTTAATAATAAAAAGACCAACAAAAAAAAGTTTTGTAAAGACATCTTAGTAACATTAATATGATGAATTGAGAAAAATCTGTTGGGCAGAAAATTGTATGTCAACACTTAACGCCGCATCGAGAATATTAAATGTATACTGCTCTGCTGCTTTTTAAAATTTTTGTAATTTT